CACGCGCCCAAGAGGATGCAACGCTCCGAGTGGAGTGTGCACGAACTCCCGGGGGACACGGCTGACCTCGACTCGAATAAGCGAGTGAAATGGCATCCACAATCCAGTGGGATAATCTTTGTTTTGATACGGCACTTCCCTGCTGCCGACCGCCATAACAGACAAAGAGCTGCTCAGATGATCTAAAATTCTGAGTACGGTCCACATAAATGCGCAGAGCGCGAACTGGACAAATTAAAGAAAGGGCTGGGTCTGCCTCCTCCGGGGGCAGCGCTTGCAGGTTCACTACCTGATCTCTAAAGGGGGTGGTAGGAACCTTGGGCACATAACCGGGGCGGGGTCTCAGGATGACGTGAGAGTAATCCGGCCCGAATTCCAGGCACGAGTCACTGACCGAAAATGCCTCCAGGTCCCCGACCCTCTTGATGGAGGCCAACGCAACCAGCAGAGCTGTCTTCAGGGACAGAAATCTTAGAGATACTGATTCGAGTGGCTCAAAGGGATCGGATCGCAGACTCGTGAGAACGAGGGCGAGATCCCAAGAGGGCATGAGAGGGGGGCGAGATGGATTAATTCGCCTAGCACCCCTAAGGAACTGGATGATCAGGTTATGCTTTCCCACGGTGCCGCCAGCTACCGCGCTATGATAAGCGGAGATGGCGGCCACGTAAACCTTGAGAGTGGAGGGCGACAGCCTGCTGTCCAACTTCTCTAGAAGGAAAGAGAGCACAACACTAATCTGGCAATTTCGGGGGTCTTCTCTGCGAGAGACGCACCATTCAGTGAATAGACTCCACTTCAGGGCGTAGGCGCGCCTCGTGGAGGGGGCTCTAGCCTGAGTGATGGTATTAACCACCGCAGTCGGTAGGTTACCTAAGTCTTCCTCGCGTCTAGGGACCACACGTGGAGGTTCCAAAGATCGGGGCGAGGGTGCCAGATGGTGCCCTGTCCCTGAGAGAGTAGGTCCTCTCTCAAAGGGATCCGCCAGGGGAGGGCCGTCGCGAGGAGTGAGAGCTCTGATATCCAGGTCCGGTTGGGCCAAAGGGGCGCAACTAGCAGAACCTGTTCCTCGTCCTCCCTGACCTTGCACAGAAACTGCGCGAGCAGGCTCACTGGGGGAAACGCATACTTGCGCATGCCCCGAGGCCAGCTGTGGGCCAGTGCATCCGTGCCGAGAGAGCCCTCGGTCAGGGAAAAAAAACAACTGGCAGTGAGCGTTCTCGGGGGAAGCAAACAGATCGATCTGGGCCTCCCCGAATCGCGCCCATATCAGCTGAACAGACTCGGGGTGGAGTCTCCATTCTCCAGGGCGTAACAGCTGTCGTGAGAGCGCATCGGCTGCACGATTGAGCGTGCCTGGGACGTGAATGGCGCGCAGCGATTTCAGCCGCGGGTGACTCCAGAGGAGCAGACGGCGGGCGAGCTGAGACATGCGGCGAGAGCGCATACCCCCCCATGCGGTTGATATACGCCGCCGCCGCCATACTGTCCGTCCTGACCAGCACGTGTTGCCGCTCCAGCATCGGTAAAAAGCGGTGGAGAGCGAGGAACACTGCCAACAGCTCTAGGCGATTGATATGCCAATGCAGCTGGGCACCCTTCCAGAGGCCCGCAGCCGCATGCCCGCGACACACGGCCCCCCAACCCGTGTTGGAAGCGTCTGTTGAAACAACAACATGGCTGGACGCCTGTCCTAGAGGCACACCGGCCTGTAGGAACGAGGGGTCGTTCCAAGGGCTGAGGGCGCGGCGACACAGCGCAGTAACCGAGACCCGGTGTGTGCCCGCGTGCCATGCGCGTCTGGGGACCCGATCGTGAAGCCAGTGCTGAAGTGGTCTCATATGGAGCAACCCGAGCGGCGTGACGGCGGCTGCGGATGCCATATGCCCCAGGAGCCTCTGAAAGAACTTCAGTGGGACCACTAGTTTGCTGTCGAGCTCCCTCAGACAGTTCAGCAACAGGCGAGCGCGTTCCTCGGAGAGGTGCGCTACCATGGTGATCGAGTCCAGCTCCATCCCGAGAAAAGAAATCCTCTGCACGGGGGCGAGTTTGCTCTTTTCTCGGTTGACCTGAAGCCCCAGTAGGCGGAGATGCCGAAGCACCTTGTCCCTGTGCATAATCAATTGCTCCCGCGAGTGGGCTAAAATCAGCCAGTCGTCGAGATAATTGAGTATGCGAATGCCCGCGAGCCGAAGGGGCGCTAGGGCACCCTCCGCGAGTTTGGTGAAGACCCGCGGAGACAGAGAGAGCCCGAAGGGGAGGACCTTGTACTGCCACGCTCGACCCTCGAACGCAAACCGCAGAAATTGGCGGTGGCGTGGAAGAATGGAGACATGGAAATACGCGTCCTTCAGGTCTATGGCTGCAAACCAATCCCGAGGACGAACGCATTGGAGAATGCGCCTCTGCGTGAGCATTCTGAACGGCAGCTTGTGCAGACAGCGGTTCAAAACGCGCAGATCTAGGATTGGCCGTGACCCACCGCTCTTTTTGGGTACGATGAAGTATGGGCTGTAAAACCCACTCTCCATCTCGGCTGGAGGAACCGGCTCGATTGCACCCTTCGCCAGGAGGGCAGCAATCTCCTCTCGCAAGACAGGGGCGGACAGGGGGTTGACCCTGGAGAAATACACGCCCGTAAACTTGGGGGGCCGTTTCGCGAACTGAATCGCGTAACCGAGTCTGATTGTGCGTATGAGCCACCGCGAGGGGCTGGCCCGCGCTAACCAGGCAGGCAGAGCCCTCGCTAATGGAGTCATCGCTACAATCGCTGACGTACCAGCGGTGGGGCAGCGCGGAGTGGGTGTGCTGATCCGGGAAGCACGAGGGTCCTGCGGAAGAGCTGGAGGAGAGCGATTCGCTCTGGCTCCGCACCCTGACTCCGGAGAGGGGGCTGGAGGGCTGAGGAAAGGGAGACCGTCCCCCCAGCGCTCGTGAGCCACTGGCGAAGCACGTAGAGTCTGCGAGCCGGAAGGCAGCGCGTCCCGGACTGGCAGAACTCGTGCAGTCACATCCGGGGAAGGGAAAAAGTGCTCTTTTACTGATGTTTTGGTGGCACTGAAAAGTACCGTTGTTATCGGGGCCCCGCCCTCCAGCGGGGAAAGAGCAAGTTTCCTCTTCACCGGATGGCCTGTCTCAGGGACGCTTCGCGGTCCGTTTACCGGACTTAACGGCGCCCTGGGCAGGAGGGGCTGCCTGCTTTCGAGGTGAACGCCGCGCCCGCTTGGCCGGAGGCGCAGGCGGGGGCGGGGCAGCACTCGTTGGCAGGCGCCCTCGGCGAGGAACAGCGGAGGTGGATGGCTCGGCGGGCGGAGCGGGCTTACGGCCACGCCGATAGATGACATTGCCCATCGCATCCGACTGCTCTTTCACCGCCTTGAATTCCTGGGTGAATTCACCGACGGTGTCGCCGAACAGGCCAGCCTGGGATATGGGCGAGTCAAGAAAGCGAACTTTGTCAACGTCGCGCATATCGGCCAGGTTTAGCCAGAGGTGGCGTTCCTGAACCACAAGTGTGGACATCGTCCTCCCCAGCGCACACGCGGCGGACTTAGTAGTCCGAAGAGCATAGTCGGTCGCGGTGCGCAGCTCATGTAATAAGCTTGGGTTGGACCCGCCCTCGTGCAGCTCGGCCAGCGCCTGCGCTTGGTAGCGCTGGTAGGTGGCCATCGCGTGCAAAGCAGAAGCAGCCTGGCCCGCAGCCTTATAAGCTCTGGCTCCGAGGGAGGCAGACAACCTACAGGCTTTGGACGGGAGGCGGGGCAAACCCCGCCACGTAGAGGCGCCGCGCGGACAAAGATTGACCGCGATAGCGCGCTCCACTGACGGGATCGCCTCATACCCCCTGGCAGCTCCGCCGTCAAGGGCGGTGAGGGCGGAGGCACTCGCAGCACGGGCAGAGAAAGGTGCCCTCCAGGACTGCGTGAGCTTACTGTGCACTTCCGGGAAGAAGGGGACGAGAGGCTTCGAAGGCTTCGCCTTCTGGTCCTCTACGTAGCACCCATCTAGTCGGTCCGGCCGCGGAGCTGGGGGATAAACCATCTCCAACCCCACGGCTGAAGCAGCCCGGGAAAGCACGGCTAACATGTCCGCTTCAGGATCCGATTTGACAGCGCTCACCTGCCCGGAGGGGGCGAGCGGGTCCGGATCTTCGTCGGACAGTGAAAGCCCACCCTCCGATGCCGCGGAGGACATCTGATCTCCGGTGTCAGCGAGTGTGAGAGCTACCATCTGGTTAGACGGATCACTCTCACCACCCGAAGCTTGGATGGAGCGCCGTGAGGAGCGAGAGGTCCGCGAGCCCGTGGGCGGCGGATTAGCTCCCGCTGAAAACCTCAGATCTGCCCGAGCGCCCGCTGCTTTTTTAGAGCAGGAGGCAACTGGGGTGGCTCGCTCTCTTGCGAAAGTTAGCCGCGATCTTAGCTGTGCAACGGTCATGGCATCGCAATGACGACATGAACCGCCCGCGAGCACCGCATTAACATGCTGGACCCCCAAACATGCAATGCAGTGATCGTGTCCATCATCCGGAGACAGGAAACCCCCGCATCCAGAAACGCACAGTCGGAGCGCCATCCTGAAAAGGACGTGCTGCACGACTGTGTTGCTCTTTTAGGAAAGTTGCAACTATACGCACCGCTCTGGAGGACCGGACCCAAAGAACCGCAGGCAAGGGAGTAACCCAGCTCGACCGTCTGCCACCGCGAAGACCCACTCTGGACCGGGAGACACACTCGTTCGCTCTGAAGTGCTGATCAGCAAGAGGAACCCTCATCGACTCACTCAGAAAGGATCTGAAGCGAAAAGGATGGCGTCTGCTGGCTTCAGGTGTGCTTATATGCTGAGATAATTGCAGATGTCGCACACCTGCGCAAGCTTACGCTGCCAATTAATTTCATTCATTGGCCCGTTCAATACTCTCCAGATAAGCGGCTTCTGATCCGAATCCTCCCATTCATGGCACTGAAGTTCCCCAACCGAAGGGGAACATGGTATTATCAGTTGGGTCTTGTTCAGGTTTGCCAGAGTTCATGCAGATAGAGAAAATCTTAACAGTCAACAACGAGATAATGTTTCTCTGCGAACCACAATCTGCATGGTACATTGAGCATTTGCGCTCTTATGAATTGTGCAGTTTGCATTCACTTCAAGTTGTTCTGCCTTCTGAACTGAATGACCCCTTCCCTTTGGCAGCTTATAATATTCGAGGGTGTTTATATGTCACATTGAAGTATTACATCTGTTGCTAAACTGCATTGTATCATTGCATGTTTCTGATTTCTACTTTCTTTGTTTTAGAATTTCACTTAGCCATGTCCATGACACTTCGCGTTATTGTGCACGACAGTGACATCCGGAAGGTTGTCTTAGAGGAAACACCAGCTGATGCTGATGCTTTAAAACAAGTGCTGCAGAAGAAACTGCAACTTGCACACCCATTCAACCTCCAGTATGAAGACCCTTTTTTTAACAATGCATTATGCAATATCAGTGACATTAATGACTTACCAGAGAGAGCGACGGTGAAAATAATTCCTCTGGACACATCACCTTCCTCAAGTCAAGCTGACACCATAATTCTCTTAGGTTCTGATACATCAGAGCAGTTGTCTGCTGAACGACAGATTGTATGGCCAGATGAGTTTGAGATACCTAAATTCTCGGTTAATGTTGAGTATCGTCTACGACAGGGAAACCTAGCTTTTATGAAAGATGGTACAACTGCTGACGTTGGAAGAGACATAAAACATGACATACTGGAGGGGCTTGCTGGGGCCATTTACACATTTAGGGCCTATCCAAGTGATAAGGATTTTACCCAAGTTGCTGCAGCTCTCATCAAAACACACCCATGTTTGACTGAACAGGGCTCCACATCAGGCTTTGCTGGCTGGAAAAACAGCCTAAAGTTTAAAATGGCCAACTACAGATCAAAAATGCGTAAATCTGGCTGTAGTGATGTTGCAATTGGGGAAAAGAGAAGGCAACAAAGCATCAAGGCATCAAAAAACCCAGACGATCTGAGTTGAATTTCTTGCCAAACTTTCCTAATGGCGAAGATGAAGAAAGCCAAGAACGTACAATAGAACTTGTAGAAGAAATGAAAAGGAGGCCTCTAAACATGAGCTTGATTGGCCAAAAGATGGACAGTACATTTGCCTTGAGACGAAAAGAAATTGTCCACTCTGAACCTCTTGTCAGTGACATCTTGGAAAAGTAGCCGGCACTTTTTTTGGAAAGTCAGGTTTGTTTTCTTTTCAAAACTTAGTATGATTTTTTAAATTTGTGTTTTTGAATCTTAATATTGACTCAATGTTTTTAATTAGATCTTTGCAGAATTCAGTCGAATTTCGGGAAGAAATTTGAGATCGGAGTTCTACACTGCATTAGACACACACTCAGCTCGCTTGATAGAAATTTTCAAAAAAAGAGGAGGAAATCAGGGAAAAAAACTAGATGAGATTTTGCAACAAGTTTATTCTAAGGTATTTTTCCTGACATCATCTTTGAATCATCGTTTCCATTTGATTTTTTTCGTTGAGCTTTAATGCATGTCTACCTGTCTTTACTTTTTCATAGCCATCTGATGTGACAGTTGTCCGCTCCGCAGTTCTTCAGGGTCTTCCAGTCCTTTTGGGGGATGAGTCTGAAAATTTTTAGGATGTGTTTTGTAAGTAGTATTATTGTTTCTGCTTTTTAGAGTGGTAATGAGGCAATCATTCAAATTTACTTTATTTACTGAAATCAATTTCCCCTTTTATAAAACAACTAAAATAAAGCAAATGTAATTATTTTTTAAGTAAAAGGAAAGTTTTATTATGGCTTTTGGAGCAAGAGTGCTGCCTTCTTGCAAAATTCACAGTATGTGACATCACAGGGTTAGTTTGCTTCATAGGCCAGTGAGGTAATGCATGCATTGCTTTAATTTTTGAACGTACTTGTTTTGAAAAAGAGGAAGATTCTAATAAGTGAAATAATAATAAGTATACTACTAAGTTCCTAATAAGTGAAATAGCCATGTAATACCTTGAAAGCAATATAATTTCTGTTGGAAGTACACACTGGATTAGGATGTAAAAAGCCATGCTGTCAAAAGATGCTCCGTAAAATGATAACCAACCCTCTGAAGTCACCCGCTGTGGTGTTGTAAATGGCTGCACCCTTGCTCTAAAAGCCAATAATAAAACCTTCATTTGCTTTAAAATTTTTATTATTAAATTGGAAATAGGTTTAATAAATAATGCAAACTTGACTGACTGCTTCATTTTCAATTTAAATTGACATATTATTATATAGATCATAGTTAACCGTTATTTCAAAATTGTAATAATGACATGTAATGATCTGTGTATATTAGCTCAATAATGTTCAAAAACCTAAATGGTGCATCAAGTAAAACATTTTATTTCTCTTTCCCCCCCTGAGCGAACACGTGCACACTTACGAAAGACACATTTAGTGCAGTTTGGTTTATTATGTTATAATGTTATTTATTTGTATAATTCATATGTTGTCATGAATTGTTAAAAATATGTCACAGGTGTTCAGTATGTTTTCTGTTGGTTTAAAAATAAAAAATATGGGTGTTGGGCAGCTTTAATCTAGTAAAACCAAGTGCATTCATTTTTTGGTTCTTCATTTTTTTGGAAGAAAAAAAAAACACTTGTGCAGTTTTTTTTATTACATTACAGTGTTTCTTTCATTTAAAAAACTGATAGTTCCTATAAAATAGTATCATGGAGTGTTCAGGTGAGGATTGTCAGTCTTGGGGGGAAAAAAAGTAGTTATGGAAAAAAGGGTTTTAAATAAGTTTTATGATCACTTTAAAAGTCATGCTAATATGCTACAATTAATAGTGTAATTGGTCCATGTACTAATGTCTTACCAAATTAAGTACATTGAAGTGTAATTTTTTTCACCTATGCTTTTGGTCTCCTGGCCACTATATGCTTTATTAGTGTAATATGAAATATTAAACTTATTTTTTATTTCTTTATTCATAGGATGTGGATGTAGAGGCTGACTTCAGTGGAGTAGATGTTGGCCTGCTGACCATCTTCTGTGAGGACATGCCTGCCAGATGTCCTAATGACCTCAATGTGGATGCAAAACGGGCCATAATACTGGAAGGAAAAGTAGTGATGGACGATGTCCCTACTTTGCCACATGCAGTATGTCTCCTGTTTGCTTTGATTTATGCACTGAATTTGGACTACCCAAAGACTATGAGCAACACATTTGAATTTGTTCAACAAGTGATGCTTTCGCTGGGAGCGAAGAATCTGAAACCAAAACTTCAGACCCTTAAAAATCAGCTTTTTCGCTAAACGTCTGTTTTTTCTGTGAGTGCTTATATGCTGCCGTGTTTTATGTTGAATGGTTCTGGCACAATGGCATGTTTAATTGCAAAGCCTTTCCCTAGGTAGGTAAAATCTCAAATTGAAACTTTAGACTTCAAATCAGTTTTTAAGCTAAATATCTGTTCCTCTGCAAGTGCCAATATGCTGCCATATTTAAAGGTGCAGGTGCAATGGCAAGTTTAATTGCATTAATTTCAAGTAGTCACAGTTTTTAGGTATTTTCTAACATTTAAGAATGTTTGCATTTCAGGGTTTTAAAGCCGTTTTTTGCTACGTTGCTGTTTGCAGTGCAGAATTTATTTGCCACATTGTAGTGTTTAAAGGAACTGATTTTTTTTGTATTGTGATTTTTAGGGTTGTCAAAAAGTATAGAAATTCTATATCAAAAGGTACTGAAATTTAAAAATATAATTTTTTCGCTAACATTGAAAGCACTGATTGTCCATTGTGTTCACATGCTCAAAAGATATGACTGATTGGTCGTGACAGTCATTGTTTTACCAATCTTTACCAAGTGCAAATACAAAGACACTGAAGCATTTTAGAGCCCTGTCGATCATATGTAAGCTTATGGACAAATCAGCTGATCGAAGGCGCTTTAAAATGCTCCAGTGTCTGTGTAATTGTGTTTGCATTTAGTGAACAGCAGTGAAGAGTGGTGAAACAGCCAATCACAGTCATTTCTGTAGAGCATGTGAACACAACAACCAATCAGTGGTGTTTAAGAACATGCTCATTAGTGCTTGAATGTTAGCAGGAAATATTTATTTTTTAAATTTCAGTACTGATTGGTACCAAACCCAGTACTTTTGACAACAGTATTGTTGTATTTTTCCGTTAGAAAATCTAAACTCCAGTCTTACAAATCAGCTTTTAAGCTAAACGTCTATTCCTTCAAACGTCTATATGCTGCCATGTTTAAAGGTGCTGGTGCAATGGCTGTTCAATTATGCTAATTTTAAGTAGTCACATTTTTTTTTACATAACCTCAAACATTTTAGAAAGTTTATATTTCAGAGTTGTAAAGTCCTGTTTTTTATATATATATCTATATATATATATATATATATATATATATATATATATATATATATATATATATATATATATTTTTTTTTTTTTTATTGCCTTTTAAAAAATTACATTTGAAAGTATTGCAGCACTTCATTACAGTGTTTAAAAGAACAGATTTATTATTATTTTTTTTTTTACAAAACTGTATTGCGTAGAAGTGTATTATGTTGCTAATTTTCTGTAGGAAAATCTGCTCTTTTTGTAAAATAAAAAAGTTGAAAGTTTAAGATCTGTGTAATGTCATCTTTACTGGTTAGTTGAACTACAAAAATGATGTTGAGTTTAATTTGCTTACATTACTTAAAATGTCTGATTAAAACAATGTTGAGACTAATAGCATTTAGGATGTTAGTTAAACATAGTATAACAGCATTAGTTAAATGGAGTTAATAAAGTAATCTTACTATTAAACCCTAAGTAAGGTTACTAAATATTCAAGAGTATGTTAACTTAAGAATTTACATTAAACTAACTTGATCTTTACCAGTTAGTTTACTTGGCAAGTATTAGGTTTCTTACTTTAAGGCAATAATTAACCTTAACTGAAGATTTTCCTGTAAGTTTATTTTGCAAAAATAAGGCAATCGGTTTCCAATCTTTTTTTAAGTAAACTGAACATGTTAGAATTTACAGTGTAGATAAGTACTGATCAAGTCATGCTTCTAAGGCATGGAAGAAATCTTTTCAATTGTTGAGTGTCCATTCATTGCCACAACAGCAGAAAGACCTTCTGCAGTTATCATTGATCTATTTAATGTCTCCTACATGACATGAAGTCCAAACTATTGTGTTGTACTGATGTCTACACCTACAACAACCATAAACCCAACCTCAAAGTAACCTGTCGTGTTTTAGCAACATCTACACCAACCATAAGCTTAAACCTCATCTCACGGTAAACTTTACTTTACTGTGATAGTCTGTGCCAACCACAACCCTAAACATTGCCTACTTGTAAATTACTGCTGTGGAGCCTGGATAGCTCAGTAGGTAGAGCATCAGACTTTTAATCTGAGGGTCCAGAGTTCAAGTCCCTGTTCGGGCGTATAAGGCTCATTTTGTGGAGCCACAGCTTTTGCCGTTGAGCTATCGCTTGATTAAAGTTTCAACTGGATGCACAATACATGTACTACACATTAAGACATGGCAGTTCAGGCAGTCTTGTAGTCATGGCTGAGTGGTTAAGGTGATGGACTAGAAATCCATCGCGGTCTCCCTGTGCAGGTTCGAATCCTGCCGACTATGTCCTCTCCCTTTTTAAAATTGCAGCAGTCATCAATTGTTTGCATTTCCATTGTTTCTTGGGAAAAGCGTTGTGCTGGTAGGAGGAGAAAAACAACAGCGTGTTCTCACTGAACAGAAAGGGGCATATCACAGGCAGGAACAAACCACAAAAGAGCCACAACGGCTGTCCCGTAGCTCGCCATGATCGTATAGTGGTTAGTACTCTGCGTTGTGGCCGCAGCAACCCCGGTCCGAATCCGGGTCATGGCAGGTTTTTCAAGGTGACATTGGCGTTGCACTCTGTGTTGCCATCCGTAATCTCCAGCCACCTTTTAGTGCAGGCTGTGCTAATGGCACGTCCTGAATGTTTACGTTTCCTAAAGTGTGGAAGACTAGGGATTCGATATGAGAAACAGGATCTTTGATGCCAGCATGCTGTGTAGATAAGTACTGATCAAGTCACGCTTCTAAGGCATCGGTAGAGCATCAGACTTTAAATCTAAGGGTTGAGGGTTCAAGTCCTTGTTTGGGTGTGTAAGGCTCATTTTGTGGAGCCACTGCTTTTGCCGTTGAGCTATCGCTTGATTAAAGTTTCAACTGGATGCACAATACATGTACTACACATCAAGACAAGGCAGTTCAGGCAGTCTTGTAGTCATGGCTGAGTGGTTAAGGCGATCGACTAGAAATCCATTGGGGTATTCTCCCGCAGGTTCAAGTCCTGCCAACTATACCCACTTCCTGTTACTATTTAAAATTGCAGCAGTCATCAATTCTTTGCATTTCCATTGTTTCTTGGGAAAAGCGTTGTGCTGGTAGGAGGAGAAAAACAAGACCATGGAGACCTTGAGTGGAACTGAGGGCTGAGGACTGGAAACAACTGTTTCTATTGTTATTTCTAGGAGTTAATACTGTCTAAAATGTCTAAAGGGATTTTGCTATTTTTACGGTTAAATCTTTTAAAGTGATTCTACTTTTTATTCAAG